GTCCTAATATATCTATACTATGAATATTATTCAACTATTACTGAGTAGGGTCCGTACCCAAGATAACCCCCCAAATCCCAAGAGACTTCTGAGGCAACCGCTAAACCCACAAATTGAACAACAAAACACCTAAAAACCCGGTCGATGCCAAAACCCATAAATTCAACAAAAAACGATCGGTTCCTAATTCACAGGCAACCCCTAAAACCCAAGGTGCCCCCACATAAACCCTAAACTCTAAAACCCTAAACCCTAAAACCCTAAACCCAAGAAGCCCGTCCTAGATTGCCGCCAGCCGTGTGGGCTTGAGCGCCGTCGACCTACGGATTCTGGTACTTGGGGGTTCATGGGTAGTTATAAGTGGGGTTGTAAGTCCCCCACTATGGGTTATTAATTTAATATGGTTACCCTACCTATAATTTCACTTCTAGCTACTCATGAACCTGCAAGTAGGCTACCGGATGTTCGCTGGAGGCCTGAGGGTTTAGTTAGATGGTGAATTAGGGTTTCTCGCTCGTTGCCTCACAGCTGCCATAGGCTCTCGCGCATGCACCTAATTAAAAGCCTTGGCCGGACGCCGGCCAGCAGGCTCCTACGGAGCCGCCTCAGGTCCAGCCCGTGAAGGGCATTGTTTACGTGAATTAGGGTTTCGGCGCTCACACTCGGACAATCCAGGCGAGGCATATGAGTTCGCGTCTGCAAAGTGAATTAGGGTTTAGGGTTCAGGGTTGGAACACTAATTGTGGGGTGTCCTTATCATGATTGATTATAGTCTAGATTATAGTATAATATGCACCCAAGCCCCTATTCTAATAATTAAGGTCCCTATATCATAGAACCCTACTATAGATCCCTTATAGAACCCCTTAGTGCAACCCTTAAAGGAACCTTGAAGGAGCTTAAGGGTTTAGGGCTGAAGCCGCAATCCTTAGGAGCCGAACCTCACACCCCAGGGCCCAAGAAGGCCCAAAGATTCCCCTCCAAACCCAAATGCACCAAAAAGCCAAACAGAAAAGCGCCACCCAAAAAGCCCACTTAAACCCTAAACCCTCAAGCCCTACCGATCAAAAAGCGGCAAAATGCTTGAAAATGCCCCCTGCCCTGCCCCACCCTGCCTAAAGCCTAAATCCCTGAAACCCTAGGCCCTAAACGGTCCTAAAGCCTCAGCCCTTAGACCCCAAGCCCCCAAACCTCTATAGAGCCCTTTAAAGGAACCTTTCTACTACCCTTTAAAGGAGCCCTTCAAGAATCCCCGAAACCCTCGGAGCTCAAAGACTCCAATATCCCTTAAAAAACAAGGAATATAGGAACATATTGGGCTCTCTGGGTTTTGACCCTAAGCCCCAAACTCTAAACCCCTAAACCCTAAACCCCAAAAGGAAAGGCCCCCAAAGCCTTCGGGCGAGCGCCTCTCTGGCTCGGCCTTCTCCTTCTGGGACCTAAGCTGGGCTTTGAAGTAACCAGGGGTTTAGGGTTTAGGGGTTTTGGGGCTTAGGGGTTTAGGGGTTTAGGGGTTTAGGGGTTTAGGGTTTAGGGGTTTAGGGTTTAGGGACCTAAGCTGGGCTTTGAAGTAACCAGGGAGTAAAAGTATAGACTCATGTTTCATAATCGTTCCTGTTCAGCTGTTCAGTAACAGTTCCCAAAACGAATTCAAGTAGGGTGCTCCAAAGCCCAGACGCAGGCTTGCGGCGCTTTGTTTGGAGTTTCAGGGAAAAAGGGGGCTTTAGGGGCCTAGGATGGTTCAGGGGTTAGGGTTTAGGGGGAGGGTTTTTCCCTCTCGCAGGGTTTAGGGGGAGGGTTTAGGGTTTAGGGTTTTAGGCTTAGGGTTTAGGGTTTTAGCGGGGGTGAGGGGTTTCGGCGCTCACACTCTATCGCATCTAGGGTTAAGGCTTTAGGTTTCTTTGGGTATACTCCAATACCCCCTAATGGTTGCTTCGGGGTGTACTCCAGAGCCCAATACTCCTCAAGGATTGCACTTAAAACCATTGACGGGCTTAATATTCTGATTTAAGGCATATTCCTTAACTCACTGGCCCAAAACCGAAGGAAATACAAGTTGAAACTTTCAGAATCGACTACATTATAACAACCCCCAAAAGTTGAAAAAGTTGAGTTTACAGCCAACAAGTTAATCAAGGGGTACTGGGCTCTTGCGGTAGGCTGCAGGTTTCAGGATCCGGGGTTAGGGATTTGGGTCTCGGGGTCAGGTTTTTGGGGGGTTAGGGGGCGAGGGCTGCTTAGGGTCTTTCACGGTGCATTTCGGGTTTTAGGTGTTGGGCCGAAGCCCAAACCCCCAAGCCATTCTAGGGGTTTGGGGTTTTCTTAACAGTTCCTACAATGGTTCTACTCTGAAGGGCTCTCAAGGCTCCTTTTAAAAGGGAAATGTAAGGGTCCTAGAAAGGTTTAGGGTTTTGGGGTTTGGATTTCCAACCAGACAAGCTCAAAGGCTGTCCAACTCTAAGGCACTGGGTGGACAGGATGCCAAATTGTGAGAGTTCATGGGTAGTTATAAGTGGGGTTATAATTAGGGTAACCATACTACTTATAACCCATATTAAGGGACTTATAACCCCACTTATAACTACGCATGAACCTCCAAGAAATTGTGAGAGTTCGAAGGGTACGTCGTCTGTGTCACACATGCCCCGAAATCAAAGACCCTAACCCGCCAACCCTAACCAACCTCTAGAATGGCACCAAACCTCAAAGACGGCTGGAAAACTTCCCAAAGGTTGAGCTCCGCGCGCTTGTTCCGCGGATTCCGCGGCAGATTCGGGCGCGCTGGGCCTTCAAGGTGCTGACCCGTACTAAGGGCCCACAAAAAGCACATAAGCAAAAAATAATGGGTACCCCCCTATATGGGGTCCCCTGGGTTTTTGCACACCTAAACCATTAAACCATTAAACCATTAAACCAATCCGAAAGCATTGGTTTAATGGTTTAATGGTTTAGTATTTTAGGGGCATTGGGGGAAAGGATTGGTTTAATGGTTTAATGGTTTAGTGGTTTAGTGGTATGGGGTAAAGGATTGGTTTAATGGTTTAATGGTTTAGTGGTATGGGGCAAAAGGATCGGTTTAATGGTTTAATGGTTTATTGGTATGGGTCCATTGGGGTTTGTTGATGGTTTAATGGTTTAGTGATGGGTCTAGGGCTGTCTACTACGCAGGTGTCCTGGTTATAACCGGGGACAGAGGTTATAACCAGGCCTGTGCCACCGCTACTTCATCAACACCTAAATCCAAACGTTCGAAAGTTTCGGTGTTTCAGTGAATGTAACCGCAATGAAATTAAACACGGACTAGAAGAATAGAGGGTCCGAGGTAATTGGCATGTATTCGGTTGCTGAGGCATGATGCAGTGCTCTGTAACAAACATAATTCCGGGGACCATGTGCGCATTCCCCAACTTTAGCGGAAAGGCTATATGGCGGACTTTACATAATGGTCTGTCCGTTCCAGTACATCGGGTTTTTGAGATCAGTGTACACATTGAGAGAATAGCCGCTAACATGTCACTCACCCAGGAATCAAAATGCGCAATATGAAGGGGCTCTATCGGGATTAAAGTAGGTCAGTAAGTGTTGTCAACATTGGAATATCACGGTACACAGAAAGTTGAGATACGACTGATACGACGTCATTGTAGGGGAGAGACAGTATTTCAAAGTTTACAGCATGGTCAGGTTTCATCACTTCGTACATAGGCAAACTGGTTGCAACGTTATGTTCAAACATCGTTCCAGGGAAGCCGGATTTCGACGAGACAAAACTGATAAGAATATGTGTGGTGAGCGAAACAAAATTTGCAACTTGCAAATTGTTAGGTTTCCTCGCTCGGTACGTAGAAAATTCCTAGCACTGCTATTTCCAACTACATGGATGAACCTCTTTCGAGGAGTGATTCGGTGTGTGACTACCACTTTTTCTAACACGAGGATCACGTTCTGGACTGGGAACAATGGCTTCTATTCGACCTTCAGTGAATATTCACAAGAACACAAACAGAAATTCGGACAAGCTAGATGTAGCCTTATGGTTTTCAGTCGGCTTTACGTGATGGTTAAAGTATGCTGATACAAAAAACACAGGCTTCATCACTCAGCATATAGAGACAGTGCGCGTCCTAAGAAGCGACGCTTCATGTCGTCCCCCAGGAGAAACACTATACAACGTTTGCTAAGCTTGTAGTATGCAAGTTTTCAATTTTGGCTTGGGGCAGCCGTCATACAGAATTAAGGAATGCACCACTCAACAACACCTACCGGATATACCAGTGTTTAAAAGCAATCACATAGGGGCACAGGGATATGTCATTGAAAGCTATCAGTTTGCCAAAACGTCATAGCAATGCGTCCAACAACAGAGACTTTGGTGGGATTGCGGCATTACAGTACAAAGATGGAGAACTTTTCGTTCCAAAATCTAGTTCGCGATAAGGAATGACTGAAGCAGACTCATGACTACAGCGCGCTTATTGGAAAAAACTGAAATACAGCGGTTTAGATACAGTCACACAAAGATGAACTACGAAGATATATCGACGGCTTCAAGGCAAGGATTTTAGCACATTGTAACAGGGTTTCGACGAGGGTGTCATAGAATTCTTAGCGTTGTGCGGGTTTCAGCATTCTGAAAGCATGGGTTGTTGCAACTTCCCGGGTTAGTCTTCAAACCGGATATAATACTGTAGTCGATGACGTACACCTGATTATAACCTAGTCGGCTGGTTATAACCTAGTCTGGTGGTTATAACCGAGTCAGTTGGTATAGCGAAAAACGTAGGGGACCCCAAATAGGGGTGCGCACAAAATAATATAGGGATGTCCCATAAAGACCCCGTTATAATGAAGCCCAATAAGGTAGGGATATCCCTATGAAATGCTTATGCTTGTGTGCTTTTTGGGTCCCTAATCTACAAAGCTTCAGCACTGCCTGTGACTCTGTGACCACAACAGTCATAATTATAATACAGCTGCTTCACTACACGGTGGCTAGCTGCATACCATCGCCATCTCGAGCATCATCAGCTTCATCATCAAAATCGTCATCATCAGCAGCATCACCATCATAATCATCATCATGGGAGAATGATCCCTACCATCTTCGAATCGCACCAGGACCAACACAACAGCAGTACAGGCTCAGCATAAACGAACATGCCCATAATAATGCTGCTCGTGGACGACATAGAAGTGCAAAACAGAATAGAACTTGCTCCCGGTCGTAGTCGCAGTAGCAGTGGCATGGCCTATGCACGTGCCACGAGGCTACCCCAGACTGCAAAAACTGATCGACTGGTCATCCCAACCTTCAGGATGCAATGACCACAAAACCTCTAAACCTTTAACTGAAAACCCTAAGCCTTGAACCCTAAACTTTAAACCCTAAACCTTTAACTTCAAACCCTAAACCTTGAACCCTAAACTTTAAACCCTAAACCTTTAACTGAAAACCCTAAACCTTGAACCCTAAACTTTAAACCCTAAACCTTTAACTGAAAACCCTAAACCTTGAACCCTAAACTTTAAACCCTAAACCTTTAACTTCAAACCCTAAACCTTGAACCCTAAACCTTTAAGTGAAAACCCTAAACCTTGAACCCTTAGCTTTAAACCCTAAACCTTTAACTTCAAACACTATAAACCTTGAACCCTAAACTTTAAACCCTAAACCTTTAAATGAAAACCCTAAACCTTGAACCCCTAAACTTTAAACCCTAAACTTTTAACTTCAAACCCTAAACCTTGAACCCTAAACTTTGAACCCTAAACCTTTAACTTCCAACCCTGTTTTGCTGCAGGCGTGCTCTAAACCTTGAACCCTTAACTTTACACCTTCAACTTCAAAACCCTAAACCTTTAACTTCAAACCCTAAACCTTGAACCCTAAACTTTTCAGCCTAAACTAACTTCAAGCCCTGGACCCAGAAACGCTTCTGCTGGGCTCACGGCGCTTCCTGCACCGCTGCAGAACTCGGCCCACTTGGCCTCCGCTTTTTGATTTTTATGAGGGTCTTCACCGCATTGTGTACGGCTTTTGCAAGGGCGCCTTACAAGGGCTTTTGGTGAAGGTTGTATAAGAAGTTGTATGGGGATTTGAGGAGACTGGTTTTTTATCATGATTTTGCACTGTAGAGGGCTTGATTGTGTTTTGCGAGGCTTCGTGAGGGATTCTAGGGTTTGGTCTGGAGGTCCGAATGGTGCGAAAAAGATGGGAATAGTCCAGCACCGTCCTCTTATCCTTAGTAGCTGAGTTCATAAGCCCCCAAAAAGTGTACACGTTTAGTTCTATAGTGGGTAATATTATTAATATGATCCCAAAAAGTGTAAAGTGTATCCACTGAGCTACTAAGCATCATAGCCCAAGACCCTACTCTCATGAAGCTTAAGAAGCCATTAGCAATCACATTGCTCGTCGTTGTTGCCGTTTTTTTTGTTTTTTTCCCTCCTACCTAGCCGGCTTTTGGTGTAGGGTTCAGGGTTTCGGGCTGCAGGGTTTTAGAGTCCGGAGCTTTGGGCTTCGACTCTCACACTCGCACGAGGCAGGAAGGATTGAGGTTTCAGGGTTTGGGGTTCGTCAGGGCAGCAACTAAACCAACTAAGGTGTACAGGTTCTCCGGCTATGAACTTGTTTGAGGTCGCTGCCCGGTTCCTTCCAAGTCTGAAGCAGACCTGAGCGGTCCAAGCAGGTGCAGCAGCCAATGATCGCGGAGCGGCCACAAAGTGTCTCTGTCGTGCAGTGAAAGCTGAGTTCATAACGTTTGCAGAGGTCGCTCTGAAGGCTCTGGCACAATGCTGGGTGCGCTGAGCCTTGAGCAATGCATCTTTGGGTCAAACGTTCGGTGCTAGCCCCATGAAATCTGGTCACTAAGCTTCCCTTGAGGTCACCACGTTGTTCCTTGCAAACCTTCGGCTGCCTGGGACCTTGGCAGTGCCGTCTCCGGCAGTGCGGAGCAAGAACAAGCAGACGCCAAGCTTTGAGCAACAAACTGGTACCGGAAACCTTGCCACCTACTCCTGAAGGGGTGAAGTGAACTACCCAGAGAGCCCAATACCCTTAATTAAGGAATATAGCTTAAATCAGAATATGAAGCCCCTTATAAAATTTAGGTATATTGCTTAATTGAGAGGTATTGGGCTCTCTGGGTACAGGAAGGAGTCTTTCCGCTGAGATCATGGCGCTTGCTGGGCGTCCGGGGCAGAGCTGGGTGCGCTGGGCCTGCGTAGAGTCGGGCTGAATAGGGTTTAGGGTTTAGGGGTTTAGGGTTTAGGGTTTAGGGGTTTAGGGTTTAGGGTTTAGGGGTTAAGGTTTAGGGTTAAGGGGTTTAGGGTTTAGGGTTTAGGGTTCAGGGTTTAGGGTTTACCGGGTGCCTCAACCTGCTCCCTGCTTCTGCGATGGGAGGCCAAAAGGGGGGTTTAAGATTCTTGGGGTAGGGATTCCTTAATATGAACCCTATTATGGGAACCCTAATCCCTACTAAACCCCCATAGACCAAAACCCCTTTTGGCCTCCTATGATTCTTCTTCGCTCAAGATCTCTGGCTGCGCGACACCTGTTGACAAAGAGTGCACGTGATTGAGGTCGCCGCGCCGCTCCCTCTAGCTCTGCGGCAGGCCTCAACACGGTCATGAATGCAAGTGGTTTCCAATACGGCACAGCATCACGAGACTGGCCCTTGACAAAAATCTAGACATGACAACATTGGCGCGGATCTTCTCTCCCTAGCAGTACATCCCAGGACCCTATACACATCCCACGAAGTCAAACCCTGTAGAGATTCAGCGAGATCGGAAACTCTCCCTTAGATGTGAATGCAAGCAATTGCAGGGACTGTTACCTTGCTTGTCTCCCGACTTGCCAAGTCCCCCTCTGTTCCAAGTAAGCCCACGACATTTCTCCTGCAGGTTCCGTTGCCGCGCTGGGCTCATGAGGCCTTCAGCAACCAACCAACCCTTTTGGCTACTGGAGCTCAGTCTGCCAATCAACCAACCCCAAACCCTAAACCCCCTGGTGAAGTTCGCTGGCTACCCTAAACCCTGAATCCGAAGCCGTAGCTCCCTATCTTAGAATTCCTCGGGGCGCCTTTGAAATCGGAGCGGGTGCCACATCGAAAAGCAGCCAAGCGGTGAGAATTTCAGGTTTTATGGAGTCGTTTTGTTGTTTCGTTCGAAAGGGGTTAGAGGACCCCTTTTGGAAACGCTTATAGAAACCCTGAGCCCGCAACCCTGTAGGGTTCGGGCTTGAACGCGTAAGCTTTAGAGCACAGTTCCCGGAAGGTTTCGGAAGAGTTGAGAGATGTGTACACCCTAAGTAGTGATCCTTACAGAAACCCCAAAAACCTCGAGCTAAGCTGGCGGCTTGGGCTCTGCAACTTCCGGCACAGCATCCGCTCCTGGCCTCGACTTCGCAAGCGCTGTTAGAGGATTTCCCCCAAACGCTGAGTTTAGTAAAAACTGCTTGGGGCTTACTTACGGTTTAGGGCTGAGGATTTTTAACCCCCTGAACCCTGAACCTTTAAGAAAACCCCGGAGCCTCAACTCCCACCTACCTACCTACCTTAAAGCTGTAGCCTTAAAGCCCTAAACCCGGAAGCTCCTGAAGCCTAGAAAAAACTATGAAATTATTTCGACCCAAAAGCCAAAGCCTCAAACCCCAAAACGTAAACCCTGACTACGTGGCTTAGGGTTTTTGTGCTTCCCTCTGCTGTAAGAGCAGATGCAATCTCCTCGCGATGTAACAGGGGGTTTTTACCACTCCCCACCCATGCGCTCTCGTCCTCATTGCAAGCCATTTCCACCCCATGAATGGAACAGGCATGGTCCACTTTCTAAATCTTCTTCTCCATTCCTGAACAGCACCACTTTAAGATGTTGGAGCGCTCTGAATTAACAAGTGAGCTCGCGTTCATCAGCGCGCTGGGCAATTCTCCTGGATGCGAAGGATGTGAGGGTACGGCCATGTAAAGAACTCGCGCAATCACTCCACTGAAACCAAGGACTGCTCAGAACCGAGCAGCCTCCGGCGGTATTGACTCAATTGCTGAAATGATCCTAGGGCTCTAAGGACTCATATAGGAACGCCTCTGGGCCCAAAGACCATAATAATCCGAAATATATATATATATATATATATATATATATATATATAAGGCTTCTGGGCTATTTTGAGCCCCAGGGTGAGTCCAGCAAGCATTGTAAGTGTAGCAGCAAGTTGAGAAGTTGAGATCGGCGAGCGACGTCAACCACTTGGCAGGGGGGAAAATGCGTATCCATCTTCATAGTGAAGCGGTTTAGGTGTTTCCAGGCTTAGGCTGCCATGTCGAACTGAACGACCAGGAGCGCAAAACCCCTTACTTAATAAACCAATGAAACACCGCCGTAGTGCATGAGGGAATCCTCAACCCTACAACTTACAGGATGTTCTGCATTTAAGTAAATCATTTAAGGCTTGCTTTGACCCTTTTCAGCAAAGGCTTTGGTTGTATGCCGGCAAGCTGGACTCTCAAGGTCTTCATGAGATACTAGCAAACTTGACATTAACTCTTGTCGAGAAAAGAAACGATGTCTTACTTTGACCCTGAACCCTAAACACAAAACCCTACACCCTAAGGTGGGTATGTCTGGCACAGCAGCATAATTTAGACCTGCACCTATGTCCCCAACAAAACGAGAAAATTAATTAACGTGCCGGAAACTGTCGAGTTCAGGATTTGGGGCTTAAGCGCTAACCAACAACGCCTCTACACCCCAAATTGCCTCATGCCCCAAACCCTAAATAGTGAGGGTTCAAGGTCTGAGGTGCTAGACTGGACTTTCGAGGTGCTAGCCGCTGGCCCCTGGCCCGAAACCACTGGGGTCGCGGCGCTTCTGGCGTGCCATCCTCCATGGCTCAAGCTAGCGCCGAAACCATGAAGCGCGCTACAACACCCTAGACCCTAAACACTCAGGCCTCGTTGTCCAGCAGCCCAACACCCTAAACCCTAAACACTAAACCACCTAAACCTTACATCAAGATTCCAAACCTTTCAACCTCCCAGCCTCGACCCCGCACCCCCCGGAGCCGGTACTGGCTGTTGCGGCAT